GTAACATTAAACTCCACTTCGTACCATCTCATTAAGTCATTATTAACAGAGTGCAAGATAAATTGTACCAGCATTATAAAACATATTACTGCCACTTCCATAGAAATTCGTAAACTAGTACATTCAAATACTTTTATTTGGATCTATAATAGCCTCATTAGCCATACTAGTGTACTACAAAAGAGATTACAGCAACGTTCTAATAAGAAAAACATCACTCATCAAAAAAAACAAACTTCGAACAAGAGAAGAACTAACAAGAGATTTCGCCCTTATAGTATGCACAAGAAACACTTACATTATAACCAAGACCAAACTTCTAATCGTACAGTTTTTAACCTTTCCAGCAGACATCTCACCACTACAGAAACTAAGAAAGGTCTAAATCAACAAATCTAAGTAAACAAACTAGAACTCAATGCTGACCTTCTCAGCTGGGCTAGGCGTATATGTGCTTGACTGAGAGATTCACAATAGTGGATAATGATATGAACTTAGAAGTAATACACTCCTACCAAACCAGAAAAGAGACCACATTTCTACAAGAAATCTAACTATTCATCACCATTGAGTGAGGAGAAAGCCCTGGAAGACTATATACATTACAGTTGTTACACAAGAAGTCATGAACAACATCAGTGACATGTACGTCATCATAACATCTCTAATGCAGAAAAACTAGCTCTATCAACTTTGAAAAATGACAACTCCATCATAATAAAACCATCTGATAAAGGCTCAGGCATTGTTGTCATTTTACATCAAAGAGGTCAACAACCATTTAAACAACACCTCCACATATTGTCAACTCACTAAGGATACCACTGCTAAAATCACCTCAGAAGCTACACCCATTGTCAAGTTCATTTTGCAAAATGGTCACATTGATGAAACCACAGCCAAATACATCCAGCCTGATACCACTAGAGCGGCTCACTTTTACATTCTACCGAAAATCCACAAAAATATCTTAAATCCCGCAGGCAGACCAATCGTGGCAGCTAATCAACATCCCATCGAGACACTATCTGAATGGGTTGACTTCCATCTACGTCCATTGGTCAAATGTATTCCATCTTACATTGAAGACATCAGAGACTTTCTCCAACATATAATTGACCTACAGGACATACCACCGAACTGTTTTATATGTACAGCTGATGTCACTAGCCTATATAGCAACATCCCACATGGAGATGGTATTAAAGCTTGCTTTCAAGCATTGGAAACCAGAACCAACAAACAACCACCATCTCAAGTAATCTGTGACGTCATCAGATTTGCACTAAATAACAGCATACTAAACTTCAATGGCAAATTAAGGGCACAGCAGTGGGCACTCCTATGGTTCCAAGCTCCGCAAATATCTTCATGGCTAGTATGCTTAATACCATCCCTACTAAACCCAATATCTGGTACCGTTTTATTGACGATTGCTTCTTTCTCTGGCCTTGCAGACTTAATGTAGCGGGTCACTGTATTTCAATAATTTTACTGTTAAAGAGTTATAAAACTTGTAGCTACCATGAAAGAAAATAGATTAGGGATTAGAAAAAACTCTTACTCTGTTCTGGGGATGAATGATATTAGCTTATAATGTCCAGTCAACTTACATAAATAATTAATATGTATTAATCACTTTCAGAGCACTGACATTCTAAAATAATGGATGCTATATTTCTGTGACATCATGCATGATTACTGAACAGAGCATTCTGTTACCAAGGAGATTCTCAAACATTCTGTGCTCTGGATGATATAAGAAAGACATTGAATTGCTATTATGTAAGAGTTTTAAATTACATAAGAATATGAATCAATGTAAATGGGACTCACCCGGTTTTCAGTGCCAGTTTTATGAAACCTTTTCTCTTTGTTAAATGCACAGTAGTTGAACCTTCATGCGCTTCCAGTGACTCAATAGCACCTCCAACCACTAAGACAACAGCATTTCCAGTACCAGATTCTTCTAATAGATAGGTCAAACTTTCCTTGCTGCAATCACACACACCTGTAAAAGTAAATATCTGAAATATTTACCCACTGCTATTCAAGATACTGAATTAGTATTGATTCATGGAATGGAGGAATATATTTCAATGCATCCTGGGATTGATTAAAAGAATAAAAAATACGTTACAGTGCATAATGGGATTGATTGAAAAAATAAATATGTTACAATGTATCATGGGATTGATTAAAAGGATGTGGATATTGTGGAATGCATCATGGGATTGATTCATAGAATAAAGGATATGTTGGAATGCATCTTGGGATTGATTCAAATAATGAAGGATATGTTGAAATGCATCTTGGGATTGATTCAAAGAATAAAGGGTATGTTACAATGCATCCTGGGATTGATTCAAAGAATGAAGGATATGTTACAATGCATCCTGGGATTGATTCAAAGAATTAATGATATGTTACAATGCATCCTGGGATTGATCCAGCAAATAAGTTATATTTTACACTGTTACTTACCCGACTGCATAATATAGTCCCTATGGAATGGGAACCAAAACTGTCCTACCAACGTTATGAGATAAGGAGTGATTCCTGGATACTTCTCACTGAATCCAGTTGCTTCACTGCCAAAATTACAAAATGCTCCTGCCGACATTATACCATGTGGATGAAATCCCAATAGATAGTTGTGTTTGGGGTCAAGATCCGCAGTTTTAATCAGGGATATTGGGAAGTAATCCCGCATATAATCAAAGATTACCCAGCGCCGATATCTTTCACGTCTACGACCACCACGTTTTGGAGTATTCCAATCATAGTACATCCACAGTAGATAGAGTAGTATGACCCAGTAGTAGCGAGTGAATAGGAGTACATATATACTGATAAACAAACAACCAAAGCCAAGAACCAGAAAGGAAAGCACATATTTCAATGCACCTAAAGTTTGAAGTCGTCTTGATAATGGAATATTTAATGGGGCCAACTCGATTCCTAATATCTTGGTCATCGTTCCACCATAGAAAATTCTTATCTGTCAATATATAAAAAAAAAACATGTCAAAGGTCATTTGCAGGGAACATCTAGTTTAAACTCGGGCCCTGGGGGATTAATAAGGTTATACCTGTTAATGATATGTTAACTAGGTATGATATCCTTATATGCCATGATTTATTTTGAACAAATGCAATGCCTGTAATTATTAGTTGAAATTTCAGACTTGAAAATAACACAGTCCCAGTTGTTCATCAATAATAAACAAAACTGAATTGTGTCATTTTGAATCAAAGCTTGACACAATTGCATGTCAATATGTGTGACATGATGTACAATGCAGGTGTAAAATTGATTTTAATCAGTCAAGGCATGTACGTTGAATATACAGCTCTGGAACAGCATTTATTATCACAAAGTGTTTGTCTGTTGGCCACTTGTATCATGGTGTTATTATGTTTATTGTAATCTGTCATTGATGCACCACAGAGATAATATGGGTCAACTGTACATGTATAAATAGAAGTGCTGTCATCCCATTTTTGATTTATTAAATAGGATATTGATAAATTGTATTGATACTTCATGGTTATTTGCATCTAATAATAAATATAACATGTGGTATTGCAAGAATCAATGTTCATATCTTTTTTTCAATGCTAAAAAAACATCCAAAAAATATCCAGTATATAACCACATGTTATCTGCACTATTAGTCGCACATGACCTCTTTATATATGCAACTGCATTTAGCAAAACATAGCGTAACTATTAGAATCTTGCCCATTAAAAATATAGACTAAATAGCAAATAATTCAGGATAGATGCCAAAAGTGAGATGAGAACAAAAGTCCCGAAAAAATGTATCTAAAAAACATTGCGCAAAAAATACTGGCTACAATTTATTCAGGTGGGAACAAAAATTAGGTCATCATAAATACATAAAAAATAATCAATATGTATTTGGCCATCTTAAAATGAATTTATGTCATGAGCAGTGATTTAGATTTGTTTTTGAGTAGAAGGTCAAATAAGAAAAGTAGAAGATACAGATTTATATTGAAGCTGAAATAGCGCGTGCTGTAGGCACACGCTGCAGCAGGTGGCGCTGGGGGTATGGCGTTGGTCTGTGAGGGGGTGTGTCCCCCTCCCATGTTTTGGAGTTTTTTAATAACGAGGTCATTTGGTATGTGTTTTTCTGTGTATATTCACCACTGTGATGTATTTTTATTATAATTCTATGTAATTACAAGAAAAATATTATAACCACCATAAATCAGTAGTTACATCGTAAGCTAGTTCTTTATCATTAATCCACTTTGTAGTTGTAGTTGGAAATTTGATTGCACGAACCATGACAAAAATAAAAGTTATGCATGTGCGTGTTATGTTTATCGACGCCTTCAAACAATGCAGGAAATGCTGACACTAACATGTTATTCCCATCCTGTACTGACTGTATATTTTTTTTTTTTTGATCCATCGGCATCATTCTGTGAGGATTTCAACTTGATATCGACATTCAAATCGAACAAAGTTGAGCTTAGTGGATTCGTTTCCACGGCGACATCATCACATTGCCGATCGCTGGTCATTTCTGGAGTCACCAGCGATGAGTTAGCAAGACTGTCAGCTTCAGTTTGGTTGCACGTTTCGAACGACTTGAGAAATTTCTTGATCGTTGCTGGTTCGACGATGCTCTCTTTCGAGTAGATGATTTGTTTGTCAACATGTTGAATAAACATATAAAGAGAGGGCATAAAGTTATAGAAAACCAGAGGTCAGAATGGAGGTAACAATGACCTCGTGCACATGTGATTGTAATTAACATATCCGAACAGCGCCGAAAGCCTTCGTGCGTACCCGAACAATGTAAAACCCGGAAGTACGTTACATTTTCAGCAAACGTCTACAGATTTCCTCGTGTCGCTTTGCATAAAGACTGATGTATCTTTGAATACGTGAATTCATTTTTAAAAACTGTTTAAAGTATTAAACACGCTTCCGTGTATACAGAATATATTTTTAGGATTTTTTTATTATCTAAGTTTGTTGTTTTATAATGAAAAAATAGCCGGTATTTTCACCAGAGTAGGCGGTCGTTTTGACTGGCTACCGGCTTATATCTACATCACTGGTCATGAGGTGTCTGGATTGTAATTATAAGAAATAAAAGTGTTGTAATCACAACAGAAATATGTCTTTATTTCTTATAACAGTATGAGTTGTTAACCCGTACGAGGTATGATTTGTTGTCCAAACGGAAGTTAGGTGCATTTAACAATACCGGTATTGGTACAAATGTCTGAAAGTATGTTAATGTGCTATTTGCTCCAGATGTTACCTCTAATGGTATACTGGACTTCCCAGTCATTCAACAAATATAACCAGGTGATGGAATGGAAGTTGCTTTCTATGTGCCAATTCTCTGAAAATAACACAGGGTCAAAAGATATGTGTTGATCGAATACCACAAAAATATTACCATACCTAAAATATATTTACGAGATACATTTTATAACTGATCCATAACCTACTTCCCAGAAACTCCTTCTATGATGATAAGGAATCAAACCAATTCTCAGAAACATTCTGCTGATAGTGCAGAGATTTATTCACACCAATTCCTAGAAACTTTCCACTGTTACTACAGGGATTTATTCAAACTAATTCTGAGAAACTTTCCACTGTTAATGCAGTGATTTATTCAAACTAATTCTAAGAAATATTCTGCTGTTATTGCTGTGATTTATTCAAACCACTACCAAGAAACTTCCATTTTACTGCAATGAATTATATTAAACACACGTAGCTGTGTAAATCAAGTTTAAATTAAACTTTTCAATATTCTCTACTTATTTTTGAGTGTGTCACTGAAAACAAGAGATTTCAAATTTATGAAGCAGAGTATGCTCGTAACAATATTGGTTCTCTTCAAAACGTTATAGCAAGTTATGTCTAAGAAGTGCATCTCATTTGTAAGGTAGTTGGCTATAATGATCAGACTTCCTTTAGCCATATATATAATGCTGTTGTTCACAAAACCCAAATAAAAATATATGCTCACCAAACTACTTTCCACACAACAACTCCATGAAAATGATGATTTTTGAGATATTTACCATTGATTTGGTAATAAAATGGTAAAAGCTCTCACGATATTTAAAAAAAAATTCAGTTACATACAGTGTAAAATTATATGTAGTTAGCTATAATAATATAGTTTATAAAATTATTAGGAAATACTTATAAATACCATTTTGTTTTGTACAATAATACTTTTTCAAAACGGTTTTCAGAAAAAAAAAATAAAATCTAAACATCATGATTTTTATCATTAAAACCTGTATATTTCAAACAAACTCAAATTATATACTGGTACCATTATGACAAAATTATACAGTTTGGGGCGCAGATCAGCAGGATGTTGAGTCTGGTAGGGTTGTGGGTGTTTAGAGATTATAAAAGCTAAGCAAGGGTATTTGGTAGCAGATACAAGACTGTAATGGGTAAAATTAGCATATTTAATGGTTTCTAAATGGTCCTGTCCTTTACACTCAAATACATAATATTGTACTATGGTCACAACTGTCATGGAAGGTCGAGTGACGTGTCTAAAACAGCTTGACACTGACTGTGAGACACAATTTTTACATGCAATTCCATCCCGGACTCAAGAATAGCTTTCATTGATTCTCACGAAAAATGAATGTCATGTATTGGATGTGCGTTCTGTCTGTACTTACACTTACCCTTACTGCATAGACTTACACTTCGAGATCATTGACTTGTAAGAACATATCATGAAATGCGTACAAAACACAGGTCAGGGATACATGACTTTTGTCTCGCAGTACAAAATTTACATACAAGTCAGCTCAGACAGCGATGGATGCCGCGAAAAGTTCAGCAGTTCACCTCCGGTCATGTAACGATCACGTGACCATATACTATAATTTAAGATAGACACCAAAACACACAATCACTGCATGGGCCTAGGGAGATGAAAGAACCCGGCTCTCATTGCATAAAAACGAAGTATTTTTTCCCCAATTTTTTGCACAATCGATAATGTACTATCTGTGTGTCATTCAAAGCGGTTAATGACCTTTAACCGCATTATGCGGTTAATGACCTTTAACCGCATTATGCTTGTGGAGGTGGGTAGGCAACCACTAAAACCAATCGACCAATTCGCACTGACCATTCATGGCCGCCTATAATGATGGGACGACGGCCAAATAAATGAACCTAGGCTAGTGAAGATGCACTAAACCGCGATTTGCGATTTTAAATAAATTAGATTCCAATCCTCAAATAAATTCACGTAGTTTTGCGGTGCGAGCGCTTCGCAACCAGTTGAAAACTGAGCCCAAAACGATAGACGTTGGGGCGCTTTTGGGTATTTTCATTGTGTCATTAAAAAAGAACAACACAAAACAAAAAAAGTGCGGGCTATCAACAAAAACTGGAGCGAAGGCAATCCCACGTTTTATTAATCGATTCGCTTGAAACATTAAAACATTTTGTACAGATCATCGAATAACACATACATTTTTATCATATTACGGATGTATGTAAACATGTTATGTAAATATGTATTCACCTTGTTGTCGTTTTAAGCAAAGGTTGTTTAATAATTTTTTTTCTGAAAATGGATGGATTTAATCGAGAAATAGATGCATATGGAACTCTCTATGCTTTAACTTTCTATCAGCTTTGAATAAAATGGTTTATGCATATTCAGGAATCATGATTGGCAAAAATATAATTTTTCAAATATGCTTTTTTTAAATAAAAAAAAAGTCACTAGGACTTTGCCATCAAAGTACTTGTTTGTGATATACACAGAATGACAATCACAGGTAACACTTGCCATGGCAACGATTCGCCGTAAATTTGAAACTTTATTTAAGGCGCAAGGTCACACGTGTAATGTAATTTCTTTCCTCTTAAAGAGTGGTGATCGTCGCTTGAGAAATGAATCTCTCAAGATGGCAACTTTGACTGTTGCCCAGACCAAAGAGTACAAACTGAGACGTAACCAAACTTTAATTAGGTATTTTTTTTGTGATTGGAAAGCATTGAAGTAGTCAACAGCGATAATTACTGCAAGTCGCATCCAGATCAAGTCGTACTCATGATTTCATTAAAATTGCGCACTGGATTGAGGGAAAAAAATGTTTGTCAATTCATAATGTCGCACATGCGCGGCGCAACGACCACCGCTCTTTATACCAACGTTTTTGGTAAAGTATCACTGAGGTATGTCTTATTTATAAATTCAAAATGATATGATACGATAATAACTGTATATTTAAAAGTGGGATATTAGTGAAAACTATCTGGTTTAAAATGGTGGACTAGTACATGTACAGTTAGTGATCAGCTGGGTAAACTTTTCCAATGTAATAAGTTTTAATTAGACGTTATATTTATATGCAATATTGGCAACTGAAGTGCAACAAAATAGTATAAATCATATATCAGGAGACCGTATACCAGGTTCATTTTCTTCGAGCTTTATAAGTTTTTGAACGTACTTTGAGCTTGTATGATTTTAATGTTATTGTCTGAATTCACTTTATTAACGATATATGAAATACACTGTACTCATACCCCGTGTTCATCTCCTATTTGATGACGATCTCACAATCTTTTGTTCAACAGTGTCTGAGTATAACGCTAATAAATGGAGGCTAAAAGTTAATACTGCCAAATTAAAAATCGGCGTATTGAAATATGGTGGCAGATTCAAGTCATTTAAAAATTGGTTCCCTGGTAGAAACATAATTGATGCAGTTCCGTTTTACAATTATCTTGGTATAAATCTATTAAGTTCTGTCTGCAGACTCTCGCACACATCTAGCCAGTCATGAAACTAAGGTTTCATGTGAAATCAAGCAATCCATTGCAAAATGTGGAAACTTTGATGCAAGATTTTCACTTCGAATTGTTGATGGCAAAGTCTTGCCAATATTATTGTATGGTAGCGAGGTTAGGGAGATTACATAAAAAAGAATAAATTGAAGTCGTGTACACGAAATGTCGCTTTGTCATAAGGGTATACCAAAATGTACTGCTGTCCAAAGTGAATTGAGAAGCTATACGAAGCGCAGGTATAAACTAACACGATATAAACTAATACTGTTTGGGTATAGTGTCAATGCCAACTTATCATTTGGTTTATAAATGCTACTTGTTGCATTTTAACGAATCGGGAAAAATGTAAACATTGTTAATTTTATGATGTCAAAATGTTACTAATCTCACCAGGAATGGGAGAAGATTGGTTCAACTGGGAAGTTAATTGCTCCGTATCGTTACCAACGTTGTCACCCGTTGTCATTATCTCGAAATCGCGCAAAATCAAAATTATTTTCAGAAATTCGAACATATAGAGATCAAATTTAAAGAATATTTAGGACAAGATCGAGTTGAGTTGATATCCAATATAAATCTGCATACGTACGTTTTAACGCTTATATCATATGGCCTATACGTATTTTATTATATCATGCACATAGCTAGAGTCCTGCATAGTTCACCATCCACCTATTAATTGCCGTGTGTGGACATATTTCGGCGGTCGGGTACCACTAGAAGCTCACATTTAATCACATGGACTAAATAAACTTCGTGCCACTTTAAATTCTTTGTATGTGTATAAAGTATGTGTGTAATTGCATATTGGACACGCCTACAATTACACTTGGAATGGACTGAAATTTTGATAATTGAAGAAAGTGAAACATAGATTTCCGGTGGAGTAAATCTTATTATTCCATAATGTGTATTGTATTACTTCCGTGTTGTCTTTATATAACTCTAATGTTGAGCAATTCTCAGTATTTTAAGATGGGCAAATTCGGGACACAAAGACGAGACAAGGAAACAACACATTTATTTAACACAGTTGCAGATTATTTACAAAACTCAATGTACAAAATTACTGAAGCAAAGAAATCAGTAAGCAGAGTGGATGATGAATTGATGTTGCGCAACTTTTCAACAATAGGGAAAAGTTCCTTATTAGGTCACACTGATTTAATTTTATGGATGACATCCCCCGAAGACCCCAAAACTATTGCGAGAGGGCGAAAAAAAATCCTTCAAAAAAAAATGTTGCTAAAACCACAGGACTACGGAACTGTTATTACGAATTGAACCACAGTGTATCAAAAAACAACAACAACAAGTCTTTATTTGTAGGAGGCACATGTTGATGTACACATCTCGTACTGTATTACTGTCACAGGTATCATCACCTTTGATTTTGAAGGCAAGAGGATAAGGCAGATGTTAGCTTTGCCAAAGGCATACACATCAACTCAATAATAAAGAAAAACTTACTGTGTTGTATTGAAAAAAAAATATTAAAAATGAACAATAAGTTTGTCAACAGCAACCTGGAAATCAACTTTTTTGAAATTCAAACTACAGCTTTTAAAGTGACACTTCAGATAGACTAAGTGTAGACACAAATGCTCTAGAACTACTTCAACTATGTAAACAATTATAAGAGGCTCGATATTATAAAAAAAACACCAACAGAGAGTCAACAAAAATTTGGATGCAGAAAATTATGTACATGTATCTTGATGAAAATTTGTCATATGATCAAAATATGACTGACTTGTCATCTGACCGACTTTAAGGCCACGGTGGCCATCATAACCTCCATTCCTCTCCCATTTCTCTCATCGTATAGCTGTGTAAACGTCACATCTCCCAGGCCAACGTCAATTGCGTATCAGTCTACAACAATCCCTCCGTTTTACCTCTGAACTTTTATGCTCACGTATTTTGGTGGTGTGGTCGCCATGTTGGATCATTTATGACAAAATCGGCATGTTTTGAGACAATTTCCTTCCCATAGGTCTTTGCGCATTACGTAACGCACATCTAACTTTGCGGAGTTTGGTTTTGAGATAGTCCAAAACGAGTTTTACGACAAGTCGGCGCTTTGCAACAATATGAGTTGGCAAGTTCCGGACAGAAAACTGATCTGTTGAGACTCGTCGTCGGAGATTTTTTTTTTTTTGAGAACAGGCGAAAACTAATGCGCGCGCGGATGTCATCCATAAAATTAAGTCGGTGTGGCCTTATCACAAGTACGGATTTGTCATCTTGCATTGGTCTTTAAAGAGCTTGCGTTCTGCGGATTTCTAAACAGAATTTTAAACATTTTTCGCTCAAATTTTGTGTCTATTGTTTACACTGCTGGAGCTGTTCCGCGTACCAAAGAGCATTTGTCTAGAGACAAATAATCACAGGACTTCACAGACGTATGGTCATTTAAGAGTGTACTAACAACATCATTATATTGCTCGGCAGGATCATTCACATTTGTAGC